ACTAACTTGGCTTCAGTGCTCTTTGTTTAGTCCCATAGACTAGTTTTTTTCCTGAAAATATTAGAATTACAAACACGACATTTTTACAGATTTATTATGTATAGATTATAAATTGATTGTACATTTCATACAAACATTACATGTCGAAATAAATTTCATGGCATAAATTTTCTTGCCAAATTATACTCTGTTACTGCTTATTTACCAAGAAATGTTACGTGTATTATACATGAATGATGTTGTAATTCTCTAGACATCTCTGTGGAAATTAGATACGAGAAGATGAATGGAATTAAGATTACTAGCACAAATTGTTTTCATTCTGTACGCCTAAAATTCTGTATGTGAAACTGCTTAATAGTTGGTATACTATTCGCTCTTTTTTCGTATATCATCGAGGCTCTTAATATAAATATGTTGCATTTGGACAACATCCTCAGAATTGCAATGTTTTTTAGTTATATTATTTTTCAACGGTGTTATGGCGTTGCTTTAAATTGTTCTGTTTCACTGAAGGTACAACGGGCTTAGAACTGTACAATCTGTTCTAATAACTTACGTAATAAATTTCTCTACATTAGTCTTAAGTATAAAAATATCGTGAGTTTATTTTTAAATCAGTAAATTATTAAAAAAAAAAAACATAAACAAAGTCATAAAGACTGTACGCTGGACACAGGCAGCCCCTTCAAATTGCATCATAGTAGTAAGTCACAGTAACTTATTTGCCATAGTTACTGTCCATCTCCCATGCATGAGGTGCCCATTACATGAGGTGATTATTAAAATGTGAAACTTAGTTTTAATTTACGATAAATGTTTACGCTGATTATTTTTCGACATGGGATAATCTAGCTTAAATCATACACTACATATATTAGTGAACACAGTCTTTGCGAATTATTCATTATTGTGTCATTCAAAAAATAAATCATGGGTAATAGTGTCAAAACACAATACAGTATATACATATATATATATATAATAGTTTTTGGATGTTTCTACAGTCTGAAGAAGAGACTCGTATTTAAATAAAATTAGATTTCTGTCAGCAGTCTGCTTGCAATAAAATCAATTTTCGAATAATTTCTGATGGATTCAAAAAACTTAAGTTCAAATTTAAAAATATGTGCCATTGAACATTTTGTGAATTAACTAATATTTTCTTTCTTAATGTGATGATTTACCCGAAACAATCGCATCCAACATCGTTTATATCACAACCTCAGTGCTTTCATTTTGTTCTTTAATATTATTAAATTTTTAATTTATTAAAAACTGTGACAAAATATTCAAAATGTGATAAATAACAGGAACAAATTCGAAATTATAATAATAATAATGATAAGTAACATTTATAAAATAATTGAAAAATTTGCCTCAAGTCATGGAGGGAGTTCATGTACATAGGACACTCAATAAGTTATATCAGCGGTCGGCAACGCGCGGCCCGCGGACGTTCTACTTGCGGCCCGTGAATGTTATGTAAATAAATCCTAATAATATCAAAATAGATGCATAAACGAACCACAAACATATAGCGTATCGTATAGCTATAGTCAATATTGTATAACGCGCTTCGCTCTGCCCGCGGATGAAATATGCTTAAATCAGAGATTAGTTTTTTTTTTACCTTGAAGCCTGACATTTAGCGTATTTAACATAACTGTAACATTAAAAGTATTATGTTGTAGCAAACATTATAAGTGTAAAATAAATAGGAATCTCGGACTATCTGTCCGCCGCGCGCGAACCCCGCACAACCGTATAGTAGTGTGGAACCCGCTTCGCTTGGCTCGCGAATAGGCATGTCGATCTAAAATCGATTAATCGGAAAATCGATTCTTTGGAGTAAAATAATCGATTATTTAGATCGATTCGGAGCACCGCATCGATTCACTGAATCGATCCAAAAACCTCTCGAATCGGGGGGCTGATTCATTTGATTCAAAAACTAGCGATAAAATTTCCAAACTGGCTGGGGTAAGATTTAATTTTTTGCTGTTGGGGGACGCAAAAACAACCGGTCGTACTTTGTTGATAATTTGAACGCAATATATATTTGAATAAAATAAATATTTATGAACGCATCCAACAATATCGAAAAGTTGTCATTTCATTTTCATTTCTAAAATTCTAATTCTAATCTTACCTATGGAATGTTGATCTAACTTAATCTGTGCTGTGACCAAGACTACATATTGTAGACAGAGAAACCTATAGACTAATGATTAGCGTGGCCTCGAGTGAGAAAGGACGATAACGTAGTTTTAGGTTATACAATAATCTTTATGACTTTTAAACATATTTAGATAAAAATTTTAATTGTTCAAGAACTGAAGTGAACAAGATTCAACAATCTTAAGCTCACAAAACACTTTTTTTCTCACTTAAACCAACTTGTTAACTCCTTAGATCGCTACGAACTGTCAACATTGTTTTGCGAAGTGTAGTTTGCTAAGCGAAAAAACCGGCACGGAGAAAGGGACAAAGAATCACACCGCTCTGTCTCATTTCTATCCAAGACGTATGCATTATCTATCTTTTTCGTATGCGAATGCGAATGAAGGCGTCAATTTGTAAATACGCTCTGTCTACGCTACATATATATCTTAATACATATAAATCACGTTGTGTGTCCGTAATGGACTCCTAAACTACTTAATCGATTTCAATCAAATTTGCACACCGTGTGCAGTTTGGTCCAACTTGAGAGATAGGATAGTTTTTTGCCCATGTGTGATCCACACTTATTTTTTTGCGAATTTAAGGATTTTGGCAAGCTAGCACTACAATATAATATGATAGCTGTGAACTTGTGAATTTACTTTATTTATTATTAAAACATACTGTGAGCTGTAAGTACAGACAGAGTACTTTTTAAATAACTAGATACTGTAAATAAATATTACGTGTTGAAGTTTATAGATGTTTATAGTAAAGAAATAACCAGTATTGTGTTCGTGTAGCAATTATTTCAATTTGATAAATAGTGGGTTATTAGATTGAAACAGATTTATCGAAAAATGTACGTTGCAGTTTGCATTTTTGTTAAAGTATTGTTGTTGTTTTTAGCCTAAAATGTCAAATAGAATTGATCATGGATTCACTTTGTAATTTTGTAAAAAAAGGGATCGAGTAGCGTAGTGCGAACCACTCCTAACACAAGCGTTTCAAGCTTACCAGTAGTGGTTAAAAGAAATATTAGTAATGTTAGTTAATAAGAAATAAACAAAAAATCACAAATTATTCAAATTTCATGTTTCAAAATGTCGCGATTAATCGAAAATCGATCTTTTAATCCTCGATTTAATCGATAATCGATTCTAGTATCTTCGATTCAAATCGATTCAGAGATCGATTCTCTTAAGAGTGAATCGACATGCCTACTCGCGAATGAACAATAATTAATGAACGACGCGCGGGAGGGGCGCGGGCGGAACAAACGAACGTTAGCGAGGACAGTTGCTTTCCGCTCTCCGTCAATTACCTACTTTGATGCGTGATTAGTGAAACAATTTCATTTGTTGCGTTTATGTTTTGATTTCGGTAAGTGTGAGATTACTTTTTATTATACACTTTTGATAGGTACCGATCTACGTAAGCTTGGTCTGGTAATAATGCTTTTATTGTTACAGTTGATAATGGCTTCTAAAAAAAGGAAGTTAGCAGAAGAAAATAGGGTATTTAACGATGCATGGACAGATTTATACTTTTTTATTAATTGCAATGGCAAACCGCTATGCTTAATATGCCAAAAAACCCTTACTATACAAAAAGAATATAATGTCAAACGCCACTATGATAGCGAGCATAAAGCTAAATTTGCATGCGTAGTGGGTGAATCACGAAAAAATAAAATTAACGCACTGAAATCTTCAAATCAACAAAATGTTTTTAAGGTTCAACAAAGTAACGAGTCGAATATACGTGCAAGTTTAAGGGTAGCGGAAATTCTTGCGAAGTCTGGCCGACTATTTACCGACAGCGAACTTATAAAACAATGTGCTTTAGTCATGGCTGAGGAGGTGTGCCCCGACCTAAAAAAAAAAAATTTGAAAATATAAGTCTTTCTGCAAGAACGTGTACCCGGCGAACTGAAGATTTGGGCGATAATTTATGTCAGCAACTCCGGGAAAAAGCACAACAATTTGAATGGTTCTCTTTAGCTACCGATGAAAGTAATGATGTTACTGATACTGCCCAGCTTTTAATATTTGTTCGCGGAATCGATAAGAACTTTAATGTCTATGAGGAGCTTTTACATTTATGTAGTTTGAAGGGCACGACTACCGGAGAAGATTTGTTTTGTAACTTAGAACAAGCGCTAGTATCAATGCAATTACCATGGGAAAAATTGGTAAGTGTTACAACTGACGGAGGCAGGAACATGAGTGGACAAAATAAGGGTTTGGTAGGTAGAATCAAATTGAAACTGGCAGAGATAGGATGTGCCATCCCATTATTTTTCCATTGCATCATCCACCAAGAAGCGTTATGTTCCAAGGTCGTATCATGGAAAGAAGTAATGGACATCGTGGTATCGACTGTAAACTACATCAGAAAAAATGGATTGACTCATCGTCAATTTCAACAGTTTCTGTCAGATACGGAAGCAAATCATCGAGATGTTGTTTATTATTCTGAAGTGCGATGGTTAAGTAGAGGCGCAGTGCTAAAAAGATTTTTTGATCTCAGAAAAGAAATCAATACTTTTATGAATGAAAAAGGCAAATCTATTCCAGAGCTGACAGACACTCAATGGTTAATAGACCTTGGATTTTTGACAGATGTAACTCATGAATTAAATACGCTAAATGTGAGGCTTCAAGGTAAAAAAAAAAAACTAATTTCTGATATGTACACAGACGTAAAAGCATTTCAAATGAAAATTAAACTCTTTATAAAACATATTGACGAAAAAAAAGTTGGATCATTTTCCGAATTGTAAAGAGGCTGTTGAGGAAGCTGGAATTAATTTTCATTGGAAAATTGATAAAATGAAGGATATTTTAATACAACTGCAATCTCAATTCAGCGACAGGTTTGGTGATTTTGAAAAAGTTTCAAGTAAACTGAAGGTTGAATAAAACTATTATTTACGGATTTTATCGCGTTTAATTACTTTAATTTATTTTTATTATTATTACCCGACCTATCGGGATAATAATAAAAATAAATTAAAGTAATTAAACGCGATAAAATCCGTAAATAATAGTTTTATTCAATGTGTAGTGTTCGAGTAAATTTAAGAAATTATTATGTAAACTGAAGGTGTTTGCAAACCCTTTTTCATGTGATATTGAGGAAGTACCGAGTAATTTACAAATGAACATGATTGATCTCCAGTCCAATGATGTTCTTAAAAGCACTTTCTATGAACTCAAAGATCTTGTTGAGTTTTATGGTAGCTTGCCTTCTGATTTTGACGAATTGAAAAAGTTTGCTCAGCAGTTCATTACAATTTTTGGTAGCACTTATTTATGCGAACAAACTTTTTCAATTGTCAATTACAGAAAAAAATAAATGTGCATCTCGTCTCACAGATGAGCATTTGAGAGCCATTTTACGAATTGCAACTACAAATATGACAACTAACATACAAGAAATAGCCTCCCAAATATAACCTCAGACATCACACTGAAAGTATATTAGTAATTTTGTAGTTTTAATTTCTATTTTAATTCCGTTATTTTCTAGCTATAAACGTAATGTAATTACATGTACGAATTAAATTCCGTATGTTTTAACAATTTGAATGGCATTTTCATTTTTTCTATGGGACTTGATGAAGAAATAAGTGTGTAAATCACAAGTGTGGCCCGCCTTTAGTTTATTTTGCCACCTAGTGGCCCTTGCCCGCCAAAAGGTTGCCGACCGCTGAGTTATATATTCAGACAGGTCGGAAATCGCTTATTCGTAGGCAGCAACGGCTTCTTCGGCGCTTGAAAAAAACTTGCCTTTTATTTTTTCTTTGACTCTTGGGAACAAAAAGAAATCACAAGGAGCTCAGTCAAGGCTGTAGGCTAGGTGACTTATTGTTTCAACACCAGATTCCTCAATAAATGCTTTTGTTCTAAGGGAGGTATGTGAAGAGGCGTTATCGTGATGCAGCATGATTCCACAGTCCGGTCTTTGGTCTTCTCTCCCGCACAGCTTGAAAAGCTTTAGGTAACGCAACTGTGGAATACCATTCAGAGTTGACTGACCTACAATTTTCCCACATTTGACGTCGACAAATGTCCGCTCCACGAAAAAAAAAACTAGCCACCATTTTTTTGCCGACGTTGCGAGGTCTGCTAGAATTACTACTTGGATTTTCTCATGTATCGTGGGGGCAGTTTACAAACATAATTTCACAAGGATAAACATTCAGATCCGGAACAATGTTTTGTAGGCCATACAAATACTTGTTCCGTGCGGGATTCAAACCAACGGCTCTTAGCGCTGTAACTCATTGCTAAGCCACTGCGCCACGAAGCTGTCGAACACCTTCACAGTTAGCTACCATAGGCAAATCCTTATTACAGTGAGCACGAGGGATTTGTGATAGCAAACACTTGGCCGCCGAGCTTCAGCACGTCAAGCAGGTCCTGCATGATAACAAGCTTTGGGTCCATCGCCTACGTCACAGTGACCGAATGAAGCCATCCACAGTCGAGCGTGTGCCTACTGTACTACCATATGTCAGAGATGTCACAGACGAGATTGGCTACATCTTGAAGCGAGCTTCTACTAGAACATTCTACAAGCCTAAGAAGAAGATTAGTCGGTTCTTACCATCCGTCAAGTGTCATGTTCCTCTACAAGATGTAGGAATGTACAGGCTTGATTGTGAATGTGGTCTCTCTTATATAGGGTAAACAAAAGGATAATAAACGCGAGCATATAGCTGATGTGAAACATCAACGTTCTGGGAAGTCTGCAGTTTATGATCGTATCCAAGACGGCCCCAACCATTACATAAGTTTTGATAGACCATAAATACTCGCGAAAGAACATCGATTCCTACCAAGGATGATACGTGAGGCTATTGAAATTAAAAAATATCCTCATTTCAATAGCGAAGGAGTGTGGATACTACCACCTGCTTGGGACCCCTTAATCAATAAAATTAAAACTAAGCCTAAGCATACCACTGCAAGACGTCAAGACACAGTTAAGACACAGTCAGTAATTTAGCATCGGACCATAAACAATAATGAAAAAAGCTGAAGGTACTCCGGGTTTAAAAATGATATTGGAATGTCAGTCACCTCAGTCTCCCTGATTATGGGTGCTGTTCAGCACCCGTAATCACGGGTATCCGTAAAAGTTGAAATCCGTAAAAGTTGTTTTAATCAATTAACAAAATAAGTTAATAAAACGTGATCAAATCCGTATAAAGGGTTGAATTCAATGAAGATTCCCGATAGGACCTTTTGCAAGTTTTTATACAAGACCTGAACCCAGATGCTTACCGCCGAGACTTGAGCTCCTAATTAATACTCAAACGGTCGTTATGATGCAGACTTGTGGTAAACGCTAAGTTAGTGCGTAAGTAGCACTAATAAGCACTAGGTGACAGGACTTCTTTTATGCCCAGGAGTTCGTCTGGGTAGATTCCACCCTCTTAACTGTTTCTGCCGCCAAATAGCAGTGCGTTCATGATTGGTGAGAAGTTAGCAACTGGAAACTATATTTTTTTAATTTATTAAATTATTGTAGAGCTTTTACTATTATTCTTGCATTAATTAATTAATTGTTTAGAGTTTGGATGAAAGGCGATTGTAGAATCTTTTTTCTATGTACCGTTTACATAAAAATTATATAATGAGCATCTTTCAAATAAAACTGGGGATCCCAACAGAAAATATAATGCTAGTTTGGCTGTCAGTGTTACTCCGAGGACCGCTATCTTCAAGATTTAGTATGATAGAATTCGATATCTTGAAATAAATCTTAAAAAGGTATGGTAATAGAGAATGTAGATGCTTATTCTATTTTACGTAATGTTGCTTGGAGTAAAACCAAAATTTCTCGTAGTTTCATAAAACATTTTTACAAAATCAAAAAAAATTGTATAAGTTCATTCTCATAAGGGTTTTGTAGACCTGATAAGATTTATCATATATTATTTAAATAGTTATTTCGGGCTTGTGAGTTAGAAGGCTATCGTCAATTGTTATTTTATGCACCACCACTTAACGTTAGTTAGAATTGAAATGGCATATGTGATGGCATGGTTAATATTGTTACGCGCCGAAGTCGACGGCATTAGCGCCATCTAGTCTCGAACCGAAGAACTAAACTTCTTGAAGTTGAAACTCGAACTCTCGGTACCTTGCGCGTGTTTACTTGAATATTCTGGATATTTCCGTGCTAATTTAAATAAATAGGCGCTGCAAGATGCGATCGAGGAAGTATTGAATTCGGCGAGTAAGCGAAGCTTCGGAGCGAAATAAAGTGAATTAGTGTGATTAATTATTAGTGTTTTAAGTTTTAATTTGTGTAAAGAAAATTAAAGTGTTAATTTAGGTAATTTTATCGGCAATTTTTATTATCACGAACCTCAAGCTCGTAACAATTGGTGTCAGAAGTGGGATAAAATCATGCCGATTTTACCTAAGGAGGAAACGGAGGGTGTCCGTACCCGAAGTCAACGCCAGCAGGAGCCGGACCAAAGAAGATTTGGTGGTGCAACGCCGCAGACGTCGGAGGGCCAGCCGCCGGCTGCAGGCCCGTCAGTAGCTCCTAGATCTGCAGCACCTGACTTAGGTGCTCTGATGGTGATGCTGCAGGAGCAGGCTCGCCGACAGGAGGAACAGGTCCGTCGTTTGGAAGAGCAGCTGCGGGGCGGACAGGAGGAACAGGCCCGCCGATTGGAAGAGCAGCTGCGGGGCGGACAGGAGGAACAGGCCCGCCGGCAGGAGGAACAGGCCCGCCGGCAGGGGGAACAGGCCCGCCGGCAGGAGGAACGGGCCCGTCGTTTAGAAGAGCAACTCCAACGCGATAAGGAAGAGCAGATGCTCCTCATGAAGGACCTTCACGCTATCTTCGGAAAAGAGATACGAGAGGTGAAGGATAAGGTTGCTCATCATGACAACCGCCTGTCGGAGGCCGAAACCCGAATCGACCAAGTAAACAATCGGGTTGACAACGTAATGGCTGACGTGAAGAAAACGCTGGACGACCTCAAACTTGGGGATGGAACAACAGCTCCCGTAGTAGCTACAACACCTTCGCTACGTGGATTCAAAGTGCCGCCGTTCGACGGGACCTCTTTCTGGTCGGCCTACAAAATCCAGTTCGAGGCCGTCATGGAGGCGAACGGCTGGAATAAAAGCCAAGCCATGACTGCACTCACCCTGGGCCTGCGCGACCACCTAACTGTTTTGGAAGCTCTCGGTAAGAAAGTGACCTACGAGCAGCTTCTTGAGGCCTTGGAGGCGAGATATGGCGACGCTCACCTGGAACACGTCTTTCGCGCGCAGCTTAAAGATCTCGTGCAGTGCAGCAACGAAAACCTGCAGCAGTGGGCCCTTGAGGTGGAGAAGATGGTTCGAAAAGCATACCAGTCTGTACATGCGCTCATTGAAGGGAACCTGGTTCAGACATTCATCGGCGGCATCCGCGACCTTGAAGTCAGAGCTGCTGTGAGGCTGGGGCACCACGAGACGCTTAAGGACGCCTTGGCCCATGCACTGGAGGTAGAAGCCGTGCGGCAGGATCATCGTTCCTATCGCGTCAGGGAGGTTGCAGCAGCTACAGTTCGCAACTGCAACAAAGGATACTGCCCTATGTTCTATGGCTGTGGAGAAAGGGGCCATCTTCGCTCCAGCTGCCCTAAGCGAACTGTAGAAAGGAGAGTTGATCGATCTCGAGAGGGTAGTGCAGCTAACGACACCGCCTGGCGGTGGCAGGATCGTCGTTCCCCTCGCGCTAGGGAGGTTGCAGCAGTTACGGTTCGCCTTAGGTGCTATGGCTGTGGGGAAAGGGGCCATCGTCGATCCAGCTGCCCTAAGCGAACCCTAGAAAGAGAAAGTGAACGATCTCAGAAGGGAAGTGCGGCTAACATCAACGCCCAGCAGCAGCCGGGATACGAATTTACTATCAGACATCGCAGCGGGAAATCTCATGGCAACGCAGATGCATTGTCAAGAAGACCTTGTCGTGAAGATTGGAAACATTGTACTAAGCAAAAGAGTAAGGAATTGGTATCCGTGAGGATGCTCAGGACAGACCACCTCAGCAACGAGTGGAAGGATAGCCTACGACATGCACAGCGGGAAGATCCGGATATCAAGCCGATTCTGGAATGGATGAAGGCCCGTGCTACCAAGCCTAAGTGGAGCGACGTCTCAGCGATGAGTTCAACCACTAGAGGCTATTGGGCCCAGTGGGACGGCTTGCTGATTCAGGATGGAGTCCTGTGCCATAAATGGGACAATGGTCGAAGAGACAGCTGTCGTTTGCAAATGGTTGACCCTAAGGCTAAAGTGCCGAATATTCTACAGCTGTGCCATAATGGTCGTTCAAGAGTCCATCTGGGAGTTAAACGAACTCTGCTGAAGGTCCGAGAACAGTTTTACTGGGTCTATTATCGTGACGATATCGAGGATTGGTGTCGTACATGTACAACTTATG